CTGTCTCGAAAAACCAAAAAAAAAAAAAAAAATAACAAGTTTCAGTGTGAAAAAGGTGATGCAATCACATTTAAAAATAAGGGATGATAAAACATGTATCAGATAAAATAAGAACATATTTATAATGTATGCAACCTCTGTTCTTCCAAAGACCAATCACATTACCATGCCTACTAACTAGAATTCCCCCAAATCCCTTACCAATTTTGTTTATTTGGGAATCCAGTCCCCAAACCTATTGGATGACCAGCAGAATAATCACTTTACCAAAAGAACTATGGATTATACTCTATGGAATTCATATTCCTAGTGCCCTATCAATAAATCCACTTTATCTGCATGCTCCCTTGTTCTTCCCTTGGTCACTGCAGTAGTAAACTCTAGCCATGAGTAAGTCTTGTTTCATTGTCAGGCCCAAAAGGAACTCGGGATAAATGGCCAACTCTGGTGCCTGTTAGCACACCAAAGCGCAATGCTGACCTCTAGGCTCACCCAGTCCCCGGGGCTCCCCTCAGCTCTTCTCACCCCTCGCCCTACTCTGAACATCTCCAGCTCTTGGACTTCCTTCCCCCGGCTTCTCATTCCTATATAACGCTGACATTTTGGCCCCCTCTCTTTTACATTTTTTTCTCTTTCTCTCCCTCCTTTCTTCCTCTCTTCTCTTCCTTTCTCTCTTTTCTCATGGCTCGGTTCAGTCTACTGGTCATGTTTAGTTTGCTCCCTTCTCCAGACTCTTCCAGATGCTTCCATCTGTACTCTTCTTCATATCTACAAGGAAAACCTTCTCCTCAGCCAGGCTGTAGTTGTATGGATTATGTCCTTAATTACATCACTAGCCTGCGACGGCGTCCCAGCCTAAAAAGCGGGCATGCCCTCTCTCTTTCCACACTCTCTCCTTCCGTTCTCTTCCCTCAGCTTGGTCTCTCTGTTTCTCTCTCCCCTTCTCTCTCCTTTTCTCTCCCAATAAAGTTCTAGAAAGGTAACTATGGTTCGTGACTCTTCTGTCATCGATACATCCAGCACTCTCCTCCGTCGGCATGGCCACCACAGGCAGCCAGCCACTGGTGCTACCGCTTAACCAACAGTAGTGGCAGAGGCAGGTGGATCTCTGAGTTCAAGGCCAGCCTGGTCTGCGGAGTGAGTTCCAGGACAGACAGGGTTACACAGAAAAACACTGTCTCAAAAAATAAAAAACCAAAACCAAAAAAACAACCTTCTCCTCAATCGTATCTTGGAGCAATCATGTCCTCACTTTATACATCTGATGTTAAAACCCCCACTTTAAACATTTACCATTATACCAACTTCATATTATCAGACATTTACTTGTCTTTGCAAATTAATTCAATGTATTTTGACACATTTCATATCAAGAACACTGTGAGCTAGGTATGTGACCTATTCCTTTAATCCCAGCACTGGGGAGGCAGAGGAGGGAGGGATCTCTGTGAGTTCGAGGCCAGCCTGGTCAACATAGCCAGTGTCAGATCCTAACCCCGCAGGATGGCAGTCTGGGCTCAGCTCAGGCTGGACTCTGACCCTGCAAACACCCAGCCTTCCTCAGAAACCCTGTAAAGTGGTTTTCCGTTTGCCAGGAAAAGCCATTACTTTCTTATCTGCTCCTGCAGGTTCCCAACTTCCGGAAAGGGCCTTTAGCGCTCTGTGGACTCAAGCCTCCAACAGATCAGAGCCCCAGGCCGGTTCCCAGGCTGTGCGGGCTAACCTGCTCTCCGACATAACCCCTTATCACAGGCAGGACTCTCTGTTCCCGTATCCCTAACAGTTGCCAGTCGGCTCCTCTCCCTATCTTTTCTCTCTGTCCCCGAGCGGTAGCCTCGGCAGACTTCCCCCAGATGCCTCTGGCTGTTCTCTTCCTCTTG